ATTCTTCAGCAACCCTCTTGGTACCACTCCGCTAGAACCACATTGGGTTCTAAGTTAAACAGATGCAACGTGGATAGGACTCATGACTCACTTACCATACCATTGTCTATCTACAGTGAGACCAAACATGTAGATAACCTCACTTTTGGAACTTCTGGATTTACACATAGGTACATTTGAAGATAACAAACACTTGTATCACATGTAAGTTACACCTTTTACTATTTAGGCAAATCCTATGTAAATCACTTGATACTGAATTAGGTTCGGTAAGTGCCCCTTAAATAAAATTCTAAAATTTTACCCTGAGGTTGCCCTAACAATAACTTTCACCTTTCTGTGTTTAATTTGCCTGTTGGTAAAGTGTAACCCATACTGTATTTTTCTTATCACTCACAAGTGTAAATACCAAAAGGTTTTTAGTCATGTTTACATTAAATCCATATTTGTATATGCGTTATTTGCATTCATTTTTTATAGTCAAATATTTATAAATTGGTACAAGCCATAATGTATACACATTTTTAACAACGTCCTGGCTATCCCTATATATTGTTATTATTTTTAATAAAGAAGCCAGATACATTATTGTACCTAATTAGTTGTTTTATTGATAAGCTCTCCAATTGCACAGGTTTTATTTATAACATCATTAGGTTATCTTCCTAGTTAAGTCACAATTAACTTGGTGGCGCCCAAAGGTAAGATGTATATGTCGTAGGCATAATGCAAATTTAGGCTTTTCCTGAAATGCCTAGGTATTTTACAAAAAGCCGGCAAAACGCAAGCATAAAATGAACTTTTCGTTATGCCGACAACAATTCAGGCAAACTGATAAAATGCCGGCAAAACAAAAACAGAAAAATATATATCATGTTGTGACTGATTATTTTTAGGCATTTTACAATTTGCCAAAAACGGTGCCGTCAAAACGTGAATAGATATAAAACAAGTCGACTTTTTCCAATTAGGATAATTATCTATTATCTGTTACCCAATCCGAATTTGTTAATTTTTTGTAGGAAGGTATAATTTTAGTCGCTAATCACAAATCTGAAATCCGTTCTTGTTGCTCGCATTCCGTTTCCGCTTTGCGCGCTTTGTTATTAACCAGTACACTTATAACTAGTAATAAACGAACTGTAACGAAACTAACCAAAAGTATGCAAACCAACCCAAACTAACCCGTCCACCTAATCCGTACTAGTCCTTGAAACTCACGGCTACAGACCAAGATGTACTCTGGCTCCTTTGATTTCGATGTTATGCTTTTATGACAGTTAATGACTTGAGTGTTTGTTTACTGTTCGGATTCGTTTCAAGTTTTGAATGAAAAATCAGTTCGTAGTAGTGTTTTCTTTTAATATTGTATTTTTTTACGAGCAATGTGAATAATTGAGCATTAAATATAATGCCCGGGAAATTTAGAAAGTGCCCAAATAAGAGATATTATGACAAAATAATGAATTATATAGAAAATATCAGATTGCCCACACGGCAATATAAATGATGACCGGGTTATTATCGGTAAGTTTGGTAATGTCTGAATAAAATTGGAAACTAACCTGGTTATTATCGGTAAGTTTGACAATGTACTCCGAACTCTTGGAGTAGTCTGAACAGTAAGATTACTCGGAGTACTCCAAACAGTTGGAGTACTCAAACAGTTGGAGTAACCGGAGTATTCCGAATAGTTGGTGTACTCGGAGTACTCCCAATAGTTGGAGGTATTTTGAACAGTTGGCGTACTAAGATCAGTAAGAGTACTTCGAACAGTTAGAGTACTCCGCTCAGTAGGAGTACTCCAAACAGTTAGATTACTCCGATCTTAGCGGTACTCCAAACAGTAGGAGTACTCCGGTCAGTTGGTCACTGCAAACAGTTGGAGTACTCCGAACAGTTGGGTTGGAGTACTCCGAACAGTTGGGTTGGAGTACTCCGAACAGTTGGCTTGGAGCACTCCGAACAGCTGTTATTGAATTGCCGCGTAGTAGAATGTGCGATAGATTTTCCTACCAGCGTGCGGGCAACACACACGCATTTTTATTTCAATCCGTTATCATTATCAAACTTACCGATATTAACCTAGTTAGTTTGGGTTAATTGGCAATTTTGAGCAGACATTATCAACTTACTGATAATAACCAAAGTGCATTTTCATCTGTAGCCACGAATGTCCTTGAATGTTAATATTGAGTTGTTGTCAACCAGTACACTTATAATCAGTATTAAACAAACTGCAGTTTTATTTTTGTGTTAGGTAGATATAGTGTTAACTGTTTCTTCATGTTTTCTAAATAAAAAGATTCACTGTAACTGTATTATTTATATTTAATAGTATTTTCGACTTTGTTTTCACGTTTTGACGGCACCGTTTTTGGCAAATTGTAAAATGCCTAAAAATATTCAGTCACAACATGATACATATTTTTCTGTTTTTGTTTTGCCGGCATTTTATCAGTTTGCCTGAATTGGTGCCGGCATAACGAAAAATACATTTTATGCTTGCGTTTTGCCGGCTTTTCGTAAAATGCCTAGGCAAATTATAAAAAGCCCAAATTTTCATTATGCCTACGACATATACAAGGAACCCATAGACCCATGGCCTCCGAACTGATGCTGACTAGCCGTATGCAGTATAATTAGGCAATTGCCAAAAAAAGTACGTTATAAAAGAAGTTTTGAGATCTCGCCAATTTTCTTCGACACTTTTGTTATCAATGGGAAGTGATATATTAGTATGTATATTACCATTTATTTCCTTGATTAGTTCTTTAATAGTCTCGGGGTCCTTTAGTATGGTTGTTTCTTTTTTTTTTTATTTTACCCCTAGTACTGAGCAGAGCAAGTTTTGATCAGAGTGCTCGTCAGCTCCAGGATAGGTTTTCGTTGAATTATTGCAATTCCGGAATCGCCGGTTGATCAGGATGAAGTCGATCTGAGACCTTATTCTTGAAACAGAGGAGCAGCGTTCCCGGGAGAACGAGTTTTCCGTCTTTGTTCCTTATATTACCATTTTCATATCATTGAGAAATACTCGTTCTCCCGGGAACGCTGCTCCCCTGTTTCAAGAATAAGGACTCAGATTTCTTACAATGTTGTTCTGTGTCTCCTGTTTGGGAGATTGTACCACGTATCTGTTATCACGAATTCTTCTTCTTGGCAAAACTGTACAAGACGTGTTCCTCTGTTGTTACGTATTCCTATGCCGTATCTCCGGTTACATCTTCTGTCGTTTCTCTTCCCACTTTTGCATTCCCATCTCCCATAATTATAGTGATTTCGTATTTTTTTTTCGCCTTCATTGTCTCTAATTTGTTGGTAGAACTCTTTGACTTCGTCGTCATCATGGTCAGTAGTAGGGGCATAGACCTGAATGTTCACATTTACAGGTCTCATCGCCAGCTTTAGTAGCATTACTCAGTCTGACAAGGGTACACAGTTTCGTACTGATCTGCTGAATAATTTATTTAGTACTATAGCCATTCCGTTTCTATGAGAAGCATCTCTCGTTTCGGATGTGTAAATTATATAATCTCCTGAGTCGAAATTGGTTGCATCCGGCCATCTTGTTTCACACACTCCTAGTATTTGTACATTCCATGTTCCTATTCTCAGATCGGATCTTCTTATCCGTCGATTTTCGTTTTCGTAGGCTTACGACCACGACCTGAGAGGCCTCCTGTTGTGAGTGTGTTTCTCCTCTCCTGCCGAATCTTGGTTTCCGATTTCCATGATTAGTAACATTTCGCAATTGAGGTGTCAATGTCATGGTGATTTTCCCGGGGAATCTTGAGGATCTTTAATACAGTGTTTTCCTATTGCCTTCTGTATCCGTATGCCGACCATTTTGTTGGTTCATCCGCTTGCGGGGTCAATTTCTTGATCCCAGGGCAAGAGGGTGCCCTCACTTGCCAGCTCTTCTATAGAAGGGTATACCCGGAGCTGTTGGCCAGCAAGTGGTGACTGCTTATTCCAGCAGCCGCTCGGTCGTCAGAGCCTCGTTGGTTATCTAGCAGGGCGCACCGAATAACTAAGTTAACACTCGGGCAGGTGAGGTTGACATTTGGGTGGGCATCTAATTTTGCTTCCACCCCTATTGCTTGGTCTACGGAAATTCTACTAGGTATTTTCTAATCATAGCATCCATCATCTACATTCTACATCAACATATTCTAGTACGTGTAATTATCTACCAATACAACGGGATTTGCCCGACGTCGTAACGTCACTGAGCTTCCAAATTTTACAAACATTGATCCTGACCTTATGCTGAATCGAAACTGCTATGATACTTTTAGTCCTTATACAAATGAAACAGGACCAGAATGTTAGAATGGTATAATACGATTTTCGCCCGGCATTCATATTTGTGACGTGTCAGTAAGCTACCGAATCATCCCAAACATTAATGCTGCCTTCATGACGAATCTAAGTTAATAGGCTCAATTCACTCCCTAGAATGGAAACCAAACAGTAAATTTTGGACCACTTGCGGCTCTAGTCTGCGTCTAAAACAGGCTACCACAAAATTCACCCAATTGTTTATTTCCGCATTCACGATTAGATTTTCATTTTCAAAAAAATTTCATTCATCATTTCCGTGACGGAACCGGCACGCAACAAGCCCTCTATATATTCATCGGGCTGAAAGATTGGCGCAGTCACGGTTGCATGATTGGAAAAATGACGGATTTTTGCTCTATAGTAAGATATTTAGATTTTGTGAGCCAGATAAAGAGACACTTTGTGTTGTTTAGAAACGAGAAAAAAAATCTTTTTACGGCGGCTCTAAATGGTTTCAGAAAGTCGGTTTTTCCTGTATAAATATTTCAGCTATTAAACTTTGCCAATTAGTTGATTATGTCAAGGAATACGAACCCCTTTGTAAGTTTCAACCTTGAATATTTTACACCTTTCAATTATAATGTGATGCTTTGCGCCTGATACCGATTTTAACCAGCCTTGAATACAAAATAATAGATAAAATATCAAAGAGGATATCAAAGAGGATAAAATTCTTAGGATGTGTACTATTTCTATATATTTTTTGTGTAAGAATTAAAAATTGTTTCATTGGTCGAGTTTGTTTTGAAGTTTAACTATAATCTCTCAACGCGCTTCTATTTCAAATTATCGATTATGTATACGTAAAGTTGAATGTAGACAGAAAATAAAAGATTTGCATTAGCCCTTGATCCAATCCGAAAACTCCCCAGTTTTTCGCGAACCGACTATATCGTAGGTAAGTTTCCGCCCTCCGGGAGTTTTTAAAACTTCACTTAACTTCTGACGGCGACTTGAAAAGGGTATGGAAGTAGCGCCGCGGCATCGGAGTTTGCCCGTGGAAAATTGAGAGGTCAATTTCCATTAGGTCCGAATTAAAATTGTATTTCGAAACGATGTCTGTTCGAATGGAAATATCTTGTCGAGCCGAAGAAGGTAACGTTTTCATTGCCCTTTCTGGCTTTATTTTTCTTTTGGGTTACGCGCATATTATGTTTTATATAAAAAGCGACGTTTTATTTTTACTGTTGATGATTTGTATAAATTGCTTTACATATTTAGCCTTTTAGTTGTTTTTGCCACACTCTGATTTTTCATGCAAATTTAATAAATCCTTGGTTAAACTTTAGAATATTTTTGATAATTATTCTGGAATGATATGAGTTCGTTTGGGAAGTTTTAAAGCAAGAATACAATGGAACCCGCCTATAATAAATTTAAAGGAAACAGGTGAGACAATCCCCCAAAACAGAGTGTTTATCTTATAAAATTAAATATAATAGGGTGGATTACCTCACTTATGCAATTTTTGCGGATACTTAGATACACAAAGATTATAAAACAAAGCAACTAGCTATTTGAAGCAAAAGCTTCAGCTTCAGCTTCAGACTTATTGTGTTGCACACTTTTTTATTCTTGCACAGGCACACTGATTCAAACCAAATGCCGAGAGAAAAAAAATTACGACCCTGCTAGAAATTGACGGTGTTTTGATCGGAAAATAGTTCTTTCATCAAAGTGTAGGTACCTATGTCCCGTATTCATTATAAGCTCATTATAGTATAATTTATAATGAATCTAGGTTCGACTTCCACGATTCTAAAAGCTTTGATTCGAGTAATCGCCCATCATAAAATATAATAATGGCTACTGATAAATATCCATACCAAAAATAAGTTCCTGTGACAAAATCGCAAAACATGCAACTCGTTTCTGGAAAACTTAAAGGGGGCATTATTTGATATTAGAAACAGTTACGAAAATAGACATGTTGGAAAAATGATGGTGCTTTATGGCGATAAGTTTAATTTTCTTCAAATAGTTTTCCACGTGTCTTGACAATTTTCCTTTTTTAAAGTAGATAGTCACGAGAACTGATGTAGTCCAAAGATACGAGTGGGCTTTTTATTTTTTTCTTAAGTTTTTTTAAACATTTATACAGGTTGACAAACAAGAAAGGTGAACGCAACCGAAATAGAAAAAAAATCGTCGGACATATCTATTTTGCTGTCATTTTCGTAAGTTCTCCATCTTCTCCTCGTTTTCCATATTTCTTTTCGAATTTTTCTGGAGCGGTCTCTATTCTGCCTTTAACTTCTTCTTGGAGTGTTTCAATTTCGCCTTCGACCATTTCTATTGCACCTTCTACTGTTTGTCAAATTTTCTGGAATAATCCGGCGATCTTTGCTATTGTGGTTATTGAACGGGAACAATAATCGATAATATGGCTCTGTGTCATTTGCGCGAGGGAGAAAAGCGCGATACAGAAAACGCGAGGGACAAAAGCACGACGGAACAAAAACGCGACTGGTTAAAAGCGCGAGAAACAAAAGCACGATCGACAAAAGCGTCAGAAACAAAAGCGCGAAGGACAAAAGCGCGACGGAACAAAAACGCGAGGGGCAAAAGCGCGACGGAACAAAAACGCGACTGGAATAAAGCGCGATTGGACAAGAACGCGAGGTGCCTCAACTATCTACGAGGACTATAGAACCCTTTCCAAAATACAAGATATTTTTGGTGGCCCCGGTTCAAAAGAGCGATATTTGAAATAGTGACATAGGCGACATATTGTTAAAGCGATATATCAAAATAGCGACATTCAAAGCAGCTACTTAATAAAATAGCAACATTCAAAACAGCGACATTGCAAAAGAGCGACATTCGAAAGCGCGATACTTGAAACAGCGACATATGTTAAGAACGAGATTTAAAAAAGCGACATATTAAAGGAACGATATTTACAATGGCGACATCCGAGTAAAAGAGGGACACATCAAATTGTATCAATAAAAATCAAGAAACTGCAGACTTACTCAAACTAACCCAAACTATAACTTGTCCGCCTAGTGCGATCTAGTCATCGTAAGTTAGCATTCTTTTGAAAAACAAGGCGCGGTCAAGGGATGCTACGCTATAAATAAATTGACTGTTTATTATTTACGAGACATTTATTTGAATCAATAATAATCAAGAAAATGCTGACTAACCCAAAATAACCCGTCCTCCTCGTACGATCTAGTCCTCTTAGGTTAGCATTTTTGTTCCGTCGCGCTTTTGTCCCTCGCGTTTTTCGTATCGCGCTTTTCTCCCTCGCGCAAACGGTTGTCGCGCAAATGACACAGAGCCCTGCATTTTAATTATAGAAAACAAAGTTGATTCAGTCATAGCGTAGCGTCACTTGAGCACGTTTTGTTTTTCAAATGAAATGCTAACTTATGAGGATTAGATCGCACTAGACGGACGGGTTATTTTGGGCTAGTTTGAGTAAGTCTGCATTTTCTTGATTGTTATTGGCTCAAATTGATATCGCCATGGAGACTTACTCAAACTAACCCAAAACAACCCGTCCGCCTAGTGCGATCTAGTCCTCGTAGGCATTTTATTTAAAAAAAAAACAAAGGTAATTTACTTGTAGCGTAGCGTCTCTTGAGCGCGATTTGTTTTTCAAATAAAATGCTAACTTACGAGGCCTGGATCGCACTAGGCGGACGGGTTAGTTTGAGTAAGACTGCATTATTTTGATTAATATTGATACAATTTGATCTGTTCCTCCTTCGCTTAGAGGTCGCCATTGTAAATGTCGCTCTTTTAATATGTCGCTGTTTTAAATCTCGTTCTTAACATATGTCGCTCTTTTGCAATGTGGCTGTTCAAGTATCGCGCTTCCGAATATCGCTCATTTGATATGTCGCTTTTTTTTAAGTCACTGTTTTGAATGTCGCTATTTTATTGCATCGCTGTTTTCAATGTCGCTATTTTGATATATCGGTTTAACAATATGTCGCCTTTCTGATGTCGCTATTTCAAATATCGCTCTTCTGAACCGGAGCCACCGAAAATACCTTGTATTTTGGAAACCGTTCTATAGTCCTCGTAGATAGTTAGGCACCTCGCGTTGTTTTCCACTCGCGCTTTATTCGAGTCGCGTTTTTTTTCCGTTGCGCTTTTGTCCTTCGCGTTTTTGTTCCGTCGCGCTTTTGTTCTTCGCGTTTCTGTTCCGTCGTACTTTTCCCCCTCGCGTTTCTGTTCCTCGCGCTTTTATCCAGTCGCGTTTCTATTCATCGCGCTTTTGTTCTGTCGCGTTTTTGTTCCGTCGCGCTTTTATCCCTCGCGCATCTAGTATCGCGCTTTTTTCTCTCCCGCAAACGGCTGTCGCGCAAATGGCACAGGATAATATATCAATTGAACTAAGCTTTCGCGGCCGCTGTAAAAATGGTTGTTGAACGGTTGTTGTTTGTCGGGCTATTTTATTTGGTCGTCGTTCTTTTGGAGATTTTCTAACCGACGTCTGCCGATTCGAGTGCTTGGAATTTTCAAGAAATCTGTTTCTGAGTTCAACTTCAGCAGAATGAACCCGACATTGGTTCGCTAATCCAACTTTCTAAGGATTACTAACAATTCGTCAGTCGGAAGACGCAATTTTATCTAAAGCAACAGCCGTAAAAAAGTCTGTTAAAGACGTTGGCACGTCCTCAGGCAAGGTATTAGACGTTGGAAATGTTATATCCTAAAAACGGCATTTCGACATTGTGGAATTATAAAAAAAAATTGCCGCAATGTCGCCATTTAACTAATATCCGAAATAATTGTGATTGGTGTAGAACAAGTTGCGGATAGTCAGTAAAACGCTACTCAAGCGAATCTAGGGCAAAGATGAGGCAAAAGTATTTACTGGCACAATTCCTTCCATTGAGTTTCGGAATCAAAAACCTTCACATTCCATCAGGCTTTTTTCACAAGAGCTACTTTATTCTTACTAGCCCAAAACTATAGTCACTTCAATAATACAAAGGGTTGTGAAAATAAAAAAATTAAACTTTTCTCTCATTTTTGCCCTTGTCCTTAGTTAGCCCACCAAATTTGTTTATTAGTTTTTTTGATACAGATCCCTGGGGCCAGGATTTTTGCTTCCTTCCTTCTTATATATTGAATAATTATTTGAAGCTCCACAATACTTGAGCTCTTAACTTTCAGCACATTTTATTGCGTTTGAATAGAGTTATACAATGTTTATTATTAAAGTCTCTAAATTATAAATCAAATATTTTTTAAAGAAATTTTATAGTTTAATAAATGACAATTTCAGGGTCAAAATAAAAATAATCTAAACGGTTTTATTGTCTGTCTGTTCCTTGTGAAGAGAACGTCGCCGAAATTTTTAATAGCGGCCTATCATGCAACAATGTAATAGATTTGGCTTTAACGATTCGAAAATGAGAATACTTGATCTTGATTGAGAATGAGTGAAATGAGATCCAATTAGCAAATTCAATCCTTCGTGACTTATGTTAGCGAATAAATTCCTTTATCCGTTGGATGCAAGGTGTTCGCATTTCATATTTTCCCACACCCTTGCATGTTCTGGATGCAAATTCCGACAATAGAAAAATCACACGCAGAAATTATTTGCGCTCCACCCCCTTTTTTCAGCCCCCATCATGGCACCAACTATTCAAACGTCAGTGCTGGTTATTATCGATATATTTTACCTTTTCTTTTCTTCGGCGTAATATGTTAGAAAAAGGGCACAAAAGACTAGAATATGCTGCAGGTGTTTAAATATAGAAACTAGAACAGTTGCCGATTTTGTGTTATTTGGTTAGTAAAAGACAGTGACGTAGTTATCTAATTTTTTTTAGTGGAGTCATTTTGGGATATATTTTTTTTTAGATTAAAACGATTATTCCACTCATGTGTTAGAAATCCCATAAGATAAGTGACGATTTTAAGAATTACAGCGAAAATTCTCTTTTCCATTTGTTTAACTAGAGAGAATTACAGCGATAATTCTCCCATGTTATTGTATTCATGGTTGTCATGCTAATTTTTGATACAAACAAACGGTTCCTGATAGCAACCATTTATTTGTATTGATTGGTTAAGATGTTCAAATCGTTTAATACATATTTATTTCCATATTTTTTGCATTCTCA